ATCGTGGACTTTGGTGTATTATGAGGTGCAGATTAGCTCTAAAATGCAGCCTCCACTGTTGTGCTTGATCTCCGGAGCCGCCACAGTGTCCTACATGTGAGCACACACAAAGCACGCCTATAAAATGGAGAATCACTAAAGACAGGCTGCGTTCAATCAGTCGCCCCCTCGCTGAATGGCCTATAAACCCAAGAGACAGGGGCTGAATGTCTGCGGCCTGGATGCATGAAGACTTTACATTTGTCGGTTTTTCACATTTCACAACATGTACTGAACATTTTTACCAAAAGAGGGCAGCCAAGGGCTGAACTCTGACACGCCTAAAACACCAGGTGCTGAATACAAACAGCAGTTTATAATGTATGAGAGAAAAAAAAAGACATTATTCAAAGGAAGAGATATGTGGATGTGTAGAAAGAAGAAGCTGCACGATCTACATAAATGAGCTCTGGGCCTGTTAGTCCTGGTGTTTTATGTAGTAACAACAAAAACGTCCCGTTGCTGTTATCCTCTGCATCCTGTCGCAAAGCACAAGCAAATAGCGAGTATTGAGTTTCAATATCTCTGCAAGTTTAGTCATGCTTTTTTTAACAATAAATATGGTAATGCAGATTTTTCCTCAGCACTTTTCCGTAGAGGTTAAGTTAATATGCCACTCTCGTTCTGGTTACAGTGCAGCTGAGACATTCCTGAAATCTGCACCCAGTCAATGATTAGCTGTGCACATGTGGCAGCTGTCAGCCACTTCGTGAGGAAAGTACTCTGATTCACAAACAGGACAAACAGCTTTATAGGAAGGCTGTGAGCTCAGAGGAGCATATTGAATATGACCTTTATTCCCAGCCGTTTGCTGGACAAAGCCAGTTCACTTTCCGGCTGTTGGAGGGTTCTTGAATCATTCACTGCCCCTTCATCAGCATTGCAGAAAATCAAACAAATTTGCAGTGTGGTGCCGGGGATAAACAAGAAAACCACTCACTTTTGCACTAAACAGATCAGCGATCTAAACATTTGTCTAAGGAAAATCATCCTGAATGAGCTATTCAGCTCTGCTCTATATTGTGATGCAGCCAGTGCATTACAAAGCAAACCCAAAAACATAAACACGTGTTTGAGCAGCAATCCCACCCCACATATGAAAACTGTTGTATGAGTTTGTAAATGAACAGGCCATCAGGCTTTGGCTAAACTATTACTTTCCACATTCACCACCAGCAACTTTTCACAATCTGAAACCCTAACAGTCTAAGGACACACAGACTAATGCAGAGCAGAGGAACACATCGTGTGCAAACTGCCAGGATGGCGGATACTTTGTGTTTTCACATTCTTTTCCAGTATAAACACAGCACATACTCAAAATTGAATAACAGTATGGGTTTAAGACATACCAATGATATTTGAGCCCAGAGACAACCTTTACATCCAGATGTGAAATTATTTTCTGACTCACTAGTAACTGTAAACTAAATTGAATCTTGAGTAATGCATGTGGAGTAACACATTGCCAGACATTCCTTTTCACTTCCTCCCAGGACTGTTTGTTTCCAACTTTATGACAGCAAACAAAATAAGCCAAACAATTTGCTCGATACAAAGCCGCCCATGAATAAAAGGACATACTGGTTTAATTTGAGCAAGGGAACCGAGGCTCACATCTCCATGGACAATTATGGGTGAATACATTTGTCTCACACTGCATAACAAAACTACGAGAGAAATCTGAAGAAGGGGAGGGCAGAGTCTAAGTAGATTCTTTACTTTGAAGAGCCCATTCACTGATAAAACCTCTTGAAAGAGAGAGCAATGCAAACCTCTTTTCAGTAGTTTTCCAAAAAGTTCCCCCTTTTAGTCAGAGGATGAACTGAATGTCCTGTGTTCCTGTCCTGTCTTTGCTAAGCATTGAAAATATCCAACACATTTTCCTACTCTGACACTTCCTTAACAAAGTTTCCCTGTTAATCATTGAGATTTGGTAAAAATGCCAACTTTATTTTATAGCTTATTTTGACAAAAAGCAGTAATAGCAGGACATGCCTGATTGGAATGGGCTTACAGTGATGGGGTGCTCTCAGACCACAGGGTCCTGCTCCCAGTCCTAAGTTCTGTAAAAAGAACGTTTTCTCCTTCTCTCTGCTCACACTAAAGCTTCTGAAATCATAGCTCATATAACCTTTTTCCGTCAGGCCTTTGTAATGTTCCACCTGGCTGTGGATATCTGTGACATAACTGTAGGGGGCTTGGTCCACATGTTAGACATGTCCAGTGATTGGTTAAATACAGCGCCAGCACCCATTTCTGTTACATAATAAACAAAAAAAGAAAAACAGCTTAATGAACTAAAAGCCTTTAAAAGAATGTAGTCCTTAGGGGTTTTAACACCTTCATGCAGCCATTCAGTTTTCATGGTGCCTCCCACTGTAACAGCATAGAGGAATGATTAGCTGACTGCTCAATAATCCCAAACATAAGCCACTTTACCTATGACAGCAAAGAGCAGGTAGAATTTGTATGTTCAGGTCAGACAGAATGAAGTTGCAGACATTCACGTGACAGCAGAAGAAAATATAAAAGTATTGACATTGGTTACAATGCACACTAAATATATAATCTTCATTACATTTTCAGTCTTTAATGCATGAGTGGTAAAGGGAAATACAACACAAATACAGAACAACCACTCTGGAGTGTTGACATCTGAAGTACTCCACAATATGAGACATATTTTCATGAGTATATTTTCATGAAGTCCTTCCTCTCACAATGGTCTTATGATTTCTGTTTTTCAGACTGAAGTGCTTATTCATTTGAATTGCTGAGACACGTTAAACAGAATAACAATAACATCAACCTTTTAACATACATTTGAACATATCTCCGTGACAACACCCCACCCACTTAGAATGCAGATCTTTAGACCCTGACATGGCATCAAATTGGAAATATAACAAGGGCAAAACAAGCATCTGTGGAACTTGGGGTGAGACAATACATGAGTAATTCGGCCCGCCAACAAAGCCCGCACTCACTTTCAAACTGCTATGTCAACAGGGCCGACCAGCTGGAATGTTAGAGCCACTGAGCAACATTACATGCACAGTTGAGTCAAGCTTTGGTTAGAGTTCATCCTGGTCCTTCAGCCAGACCACCGACCTTGTCCAGGTGGGAGACACTGGAGCGTATTTCGACTTTATACCTGTTTAAGTACAGTTAAACTGACAGTACGGGCATTATCTTTAAGTGACTTCATTTATACGTGACAATTTTAAAAGACTGAACTTTAAAGAATGTGGCAGCTAAGGCAATTTTGAATTGTAGCTGAGGTTTTGTAGCTGAGATTATCAGCGCCCAAAGGCATCAGCTGCTGTGTGAGGCTGGTCTTTGGAAGCCTGATTTGTTCCTTTTCAGCCACTTAACAAGTCTGCTTTAGGTCGGACCAATTCACTTAGTACTTATTAGTAAACTAATTCTGTAAAACTGAGTAATAAGATGAAAGAAAAAATATCCCTGCGAGAGACAGGTATGCCCTTTATAGCAAGTCACATTAAAATATTACAGTGTAAAAATAAGGAGGAATTATTCAAATTTCAGGAAGCAGTTAGATCAAGAATTCACAGAGCCTTGTAATCAGGTCAAACAAAGCTCCAAGGTGTCAATTTAATGACAAAAAATGTGTGAAAGACTTCTGCCGGCCTGTGTTTTGCTCTTAAAAACAGCTTTATGGAGATTTCTACCTTTTCTATGACAATACAATATGACACAAAACAAAAGCCAAAGCCTGTTATCATTTATCCCAGTACAGTTGTTTTCTTTAGAAAAACATGGTAACTGACCACAGATGTAAAACAAAAGCCGGTATAATAGGACTTCAAGCTCACATATTTTCTTTCCATCTCACAAATAACCTGAAATTGTTGGTTTGCCGTCAGACAGACATCTGTAATCTGAAAACACACATGCCATCTTACATGACTCCACATGCCAGCAAACATCAGATTTGGAATATCTCTGGAAAACAAGCCTACCGTTATGTGCGTACAGCTCCAGGACGTGTTCACACATCTATTCAACAAAAGCGCCGCATGTCTTCCACATCGCAGCCTTTTCCCTCCGCACTCTGCGCTGATACAGGAAATCTTACCCACACAATAGTCTTCATTATCTGACTCATGCTCTCGTCAGTGTGACTCCAAGCTGAACTATGCTTCCCAAGATCCCTCTGTTATGACATGCGGCCGCCCTTTGATCCGGCTCCAGGGCGCTCGCACCTGAAAGGGGAAGCGGGGCTGTTCTGCCCATTATTATGCACGCCCTACCACTTCCTGGCCTCACGTGAACAACTTTAAACCTCAGGTAAAGACCAGAGGTCAGAGGTCCTGGAGAAAGCTAAATAAGGGGTCAAGATGAGGTACACAAAAAAAACTCTGCTACTGCTCTCCTGGCAACACACAGCACTCCACAAATAAACAAAGGGCCTGTAAAACTGTCAAGTATTCATTGATATCTTGTTTACACTCTGGGCTCGGTTCTTCTTACACAACCTATCCTATAGCTTATCGACTTTCTGTGTTTGTTATAGTCAGTCAATACAGCACATTTACCACCAGTACACCCTTTACAAGCAATTGGTTTAAGGTCAAGTTGAACTTTTTCTGCATTGTCACACACATTTGCTCCAAGATAACACTATATACGTCCTCACTTATAGGTTTCATTGAGCTCCAACTTCATCTGAGGGCGAGCGAGAACAAACAGAGTTAATCGGCCTGATCCGAACACACAAGGCCTTTTCTGAGCTTTCTGCACATTCAGCATAACACATCATATCTTATTCACCACATGTTTTGACTATCAGCTTGCTCACACATTCCTGAAAGCATGTCTAAGGGGGATTGACTGAAACAGCAAACACAGCAGAGCCAAAAATAAAGCCAAGACGTCCAACGTAAAGACTCAGCCAGAGAGGTGAACTGTCACCTCTGACCAGACACCTCTCCTACCTCCAGCAATCCTCTTGAGCAGCTGCTGCCTGGCGATGATCCTGCCCAGCCGGTACCCGGAGCGCCTGCGGTGATGATCCATTCTCAGGTAGATGTCCTGAGTCTCAGGGGTCATGCTGCCCAGACACTCGCTGCCCGAGGACTCTGAGAGCTCTCGAAACATAGCTCCACTGCTTCACTCAGACGAGCCACTGACCAGACACACTCACCCACACTCAGCCTCACCAACAGAAAAACTTCACATACATGCGCAAAAAGCCTGGAGTGAGCGGAGAGGGAGGGCACGGCAGAACCCAGGGGGAGGAGTGCCAACACTTCCCTCTGGCCCCGCAGGCCATGTGACCACGCAGAGGCCAATGGCAGGCCGGCAGTGGGAGCACTGCCCACCTTGCTGACTTGAATCCAATGTCTGTGTGAAGACTTGTCAACTTCCCCCTGCTCTGGAGGGAAATATAAATACCACTGGAATGCCTATGAACTGAGTAAGGGGGGCACCGGTGGATGATGTGGGGTGTGGGAAAGCTTACAAAAATAGTGGCTTTGGACTCGCCCTGCTGGAGAACAACTCTTCTGCTGTTGCTGGTGACACAGGTGCCAAAATGACTGGGCAAGAGTGAGTCTGTGCTACTGCAGAGGAGAAAGGAAGAGGGAGAAGTTGTTTTCTCGGTTGGGGAATGCTAATTTCTGCTCCCCAACCCCCACCACACTACTTCGACTTCCAGTGGCAGGAAGTGCTCTCAGTGGCTCCCCTCGACTGTAGATACTCATCAGTAAACCATAATTTACCATGAATATACAAGTGACCTAAATCAGTTTCATTTAACACATTTCAAATCGGAAATCAGTGTCTTTTCAGCAACTCTGATGGCAAAACGCCACTTCTGATAAAATGATCATGCACAAATGATAATCTGAAAAAATACACAAATGTTGAAGTGTTTACAAAGTCAAAAATGATTTTAAAATGTATAGGAAGCACCCTTCTACAGCACACATTAAAAATCTAATAACATAAATCACTCAGTGAGGTTGTTGGGGAGGTTTTCAACTGGCAAGTGGTATTGCTGTTTTTCACATATTTCTTCAGTCTTTTGATCTCCAGTCTTACGTCTTTCACTCTCTAAATATTAAAGATTAAGCAATTAAAGTGTTTTCCTTCCCACTGTGGGTGAGATTAGGCTTTTAAATGACTTAATTAATGAGGAAACCATAGCCGTTAGGCATTAAAAACCACATTAAAATCCGATCTATTGCTTAAAGTTACTGCATTGGTGACACGTCCCCTGTGTTACTAGAGAAACGATGCAAATCAAATTAGTGCTATATCTGGGGTGAACCTAAAATCAATCCAGAGGGGTCAAATTTAACTAAAGCTGGACATTTAATGACAAAGTGATGCTTTAAAAAAACATTTTAAACTTCGTTTTTGTGGTGGAGGTTATTTTTGTTAAGAACAGGGCAGTGTCTTCCTCGTCTAAGAAAAGGAAGTCATACAAGTGTCTCTGCAACCTTTGATCATAATAAAGCATTTGCTATCAATAAAAATAAACTGGAGGATTTAAAAAGAAAACAATAACAAAAAAGCTGAAATACAGCATGATTACGATTGTACATATTCCACCTTGGAGAACACACTGTGTTTTAGAAAGCCATCATACTTTCACATAGTGGTAAAAATCCCATAGTGAGTCTCAAATTAAACTATTATCTTTCATCATTTAAAATAGTTGCTTTCTACACCACTTTGCATGATCATTTACATCAAAACTGAGAGATAAGATCCAATTATTTAAAATACACGTATTAATATATGCTTGAATTATAGTCTATATCCACACCAGAACAGTCACCAGTGCCTACCAGGACCCCACCACCATGTGCCGTTCTAGCTGCAGCATACAGCTTTGCCTGTTGAGCATATAAGCATGGCGCCATACACGTGAATAGAGCACAAATGGGCAAGTAACCAAGTTAAACACAGCCCCTGTCTGTTCCTCTCTCTCACTGGCAAAATCCACCCAGGCTTAAAACTCACAAAGACCACAATTCAGCAGCACACTTCAGAGCCTGTTGCACATTTTCATAAACTTCTGCTGGGTTTAACGGCTCCCCCCACACCCTCAAGTAGCTGCTGTTTTAATAGCACGACGTGATGGCTTAGCTTCGTTCAGATGACTTCATCAGGACACAAGCACCTGTATTCATCCAACAAGTCACACTCAGGATTGGCTCAACGCCTCTGATGCCAAAATGAGTGGCAGTATTGCAGAATAAGTCTGAGCTCAATGAATCCATTTCTGTGCTCTAAACTTCCTTTTTTGTCTAGACGATATAATTTACCAAGTGCATTACACGCATCACATTACAGAATCTATCACCCAGCGTGACAATGGGAGTGATTAATGGTGTCATCGTCTGATTTCTAATAGCTCAGTGGGGACTGTGAGGAAGATGAAAGCGCTCCAGTGTGATCACAGATGCCCTTGTGTTTAGCTCTGTTGCTGCACGCCATGAAGAAATGGCTGTGATCTGTCCCCAGAGGAGGACTGACACTCCAGCCCTTATCGGACGTGTTACAACACGCCTCTGTCTGGGTTTCAAAGCTCAACTACCATCCAGCAAGGCGGCAGGAATTACAGACTCACATTACAGACGCACAAACACATACCAAGGCTCCACCAAGTGCTGGCAGAGGGATTTTATTGTTGATTATAATGAGGTCTAAAAAAAGAAATTAGAGAATGCCCTTAAAAAACACCCACAGATCATATGAAAGATGAAGGATGCTTCTTGAACTGAAACTGGAGGCAACAGCAACATCATATCATATTCACACGTTTCAGGATTATTACCAAGCATATCCTGTAGCCACTTCATTTAAACCGAGCCTTCATTAGTTTTCCACTTCAGCACTTGGCCAAAGCCAGGTGTTATTACAGAGAGGAAACTTGTATTCTGATTCGTCTTGGGGCAGAAACGGCTTTGATGTGGCTCGATTCAGCAGCAGACACGTGTAATCAGCGCTGGGCAGCGTGGCTCTGCTGGGGCTGTGTTTCCTGTGGTTACGGCTTAAGAATAGCCCTAGTGTGACAAAAGATTTCCAGCCCCTGGGCCATCAAATGTCTGAATTCTGAGCTCAGGCCTTGCTGTAAATCGTACTGTAATGCTGCAAGTCCAGTTGAGCTGGGACTGCTTTTGGGTCAGGCGCTTGATAGTCCACAACAAAATACTGTAACTCTCAACAAAACCAATAAGTGTTGACACAGTAAATATCTTTTAGCCAGACATGATCAGGTGTTTAACTTTAGCAGCACTCCACAAGCGTCTGCTTAAAGCTGTTGTTCCCAAAACAAAGGTGTGTCCCAACACTGTGACAGGCCCACGGTTTGTGTGTTTGAGTGCCATTCAGACCTTCACTTCATATTAAATAATTTCTTTAAATGCTTTCCTTCAAGAATGAAGATAGAAAAACTCAGAGGACCTCTATTGCCTGCCACTGACAGCTGAGATGAAAAATGTAAAGTAGACAAAGTTACAGCCGAGTTCAGAAAAAACTATGAATCTCAATAATATTCACTATTTACTATTATTCACTAGATTTTCCGACAGGTGTTTGTAACATAACCCTGTCAGGTTAGCATATCCAACTTTATAGCATGTTTAAAGGAAATAAAACTTGAAAAGAAATGAAAGTAAATCATTTGTTAAATTTAAAAAAATATATCAGTTTTATGTAAAATATCTCTTATGCAAGTCTCAGTTAATCAAAGAACTTGGTGCTATATACCTATCTGCAGAGACACTTTATATCCCTCCCTTTCCATCTGGAGTAAATCTGGAGCTAATATGGATTAATCACAAATGTATAGGAAAAGATCATCCTTATCTTTTATATTTGTGCTCAGCTGAGTGGACCTCAATAGGGTGAACGACACTATGTAAACTAAACAAGTTCTCCACCTCTGCCAGTGCGTTAGCAAAGAGATTTCTCTCAGACTTTCTGAGACAGCTGCCATATATCAGCATTTAGCTGTAAATGGGTCACCTTCTGCGATGTGACAGGCACAAATTTCTTTCTTGATTGGCCAGATCCATCTTTGATGAGCCAGGAATGAGCTGTCAGGAGCTGAGACCTGAGCTGAATTCCACACATACCCACAAATGCTCCATCTGATTTTTCTAACATCTGTTTTGGAGATTGGGTTTGCACACCAAATCCTGTGATCTACATAATCACCTAAAACGTGTCAAAATATAAAACCACCACACCTTACAGCCAAGAGTAAAGGCAGCGTCCCGTGTCGTGATAAAAAAAGACCCTGTACATACAGGGGTCTTGTTAACTGTGTGTATTTGTAGCTTTAGGAGGCTCAGGAATGCAGACTGCATGGCACTCATCGCTCACTTTTAATGCACATTCTGTTTGGAAAAGAATGCAAGGTTAATGTGTCAAATATCCAGACATCACAACACACAGCTGCCTGAGCAGTGACGTGCTTCAGCAGGCTGCACAACCCAGCCAAGCGCATGTCAAGCCACACACACACACACACACACACACACACAACTTTCTGGGAAAATTGAACAGGAGCTCTAAATCCAGTTAAACAAAGAGAGCACACCAGCCGGTTGTGATCTAAAATAAAACATCTGGTCTCTGTTTGCATGACTTAAGCCTGCCTGATGAAGACAGGCCACTTTTATACCTCATGTGGCGTTCCCACACCAGGCGCCGGGCGGTCAGTTCACCTCACCTGCTGGTGAGCTGAGGCCACTGCACAGCTGCTCTCAGCCTCTGGAGTACCAGCCTGATTCAGTTTCATGTTTTGATGAACTAACCAAAAGCCTTATTTCTCTCCATGTATGTGGAAGAAACTCAGCTACTCCTGATAAACTTGGAATATTTCTATACAAAAAAGTAAATAAAATGACTGTGCACGTGCAGTTCTGCTGCAATATGAACATCAGAGGAAGCATTGTAAAAGGAAAATAGGCTCCCACCAACCAAAAGTTTCTAAAAAATCAGTCAAACCTGTCTGTGAACAACGAAAGCTCATATAACCAAACAAAAATGTCCCCATTCATCAATTATATTTCAGATGTCAGAATTACTCCCTAGCGCCGCCTTCTGGCGTCACATTGAAGTCACAATGTCATTTGAGA